ACGTTTTGTTTATTTTCATATATTTTCTGCTAAGTGGCCATTTCTTGATTCCATTTCGGAATCAAATTTCTATCTATTGTTTCCTGCTTTCCTCCCCTGTCTCTAAAAATTGACAAGGATTTCCTTGTTCTTTCGTAAATATTGTTTTATTATTAGCAACAAAACTTCGGGCCGCCTAAATCGTTGACATAGTTTATTTTAAAAGAAGGAAAAGTCAAAATCGGTGCTGATATTATTGCAATTTCGCAATGACATGCTGAGGTTGAGTAGCAAAAATTAATGTAAAAAATATATGACTGAACAGTGGATCATCGGAACTGATATAGATGTTGCCAAATTCCTGGATGAAACTAGGATTACAAAGCATTATTTAGATAGGCTAATAATTGATGACAGGTGAACTATGCTAGCTCATTAAAAATGATTGAGTTCAGAAAGATTGGACAATATGCTTGTACCGTAGCCGGACTATTTGACATAAGGAACCACCAGTACTAATAATTCCTCTTGACTTCTTGTTCCGGTTGCATAATTCAGATATTATAGATCAGGTCGAAACTGTTGCATAATTCCTCTTGTTCCAGTAGAGATTAAACATATTTAGCACATAATGCTCCAACTTTACTAGGAATCAAGTGTTGAGTTATGCAGTTGCCATAAAGAACTTCTTATAGTGGAAATTTTCTAGAGATATTGCCTTTGTACAGCGGGAGTTAAATGAAAAAAAAAATCCACAAGCAAGTCAACAATCTGCCCTCAAATTCCACATTTTCCCCTCCTGTCTTCAAGACTTTATCCATCAGTATTCACGTTGCCAACATTACATCAGTTTACAGGCTACATTGATGCATTTATGTAGTCAAATCTAGCAACAATATGCTTACACATTGGGCCACTTACCAGGAAAATTTAATCCTTGGCCTGAGCATGGAGAGTTCAAGCCTGAAAATAATCTGGGTATGGAAAACTACCTCTGAAAATACAGGCCGCATGAGTTTTCCGATGTTGCCTGAAAAAGCTTGCTTGGATGGTCAGTTTGTCAAAACAGAATTTACCATCCCTTTGGTCCATTCTAAATACAGAAAATATAATTAATCTCCTACGAGGCGACACTATTTTTCCATTACCATTCTTGACGGAAGATGACCATGCTTGATAGTAGCTCATAATGCCGAAATGGCCTACCTTTTCTTCCTCGCCTCCATCCTGAATCTTCGTTACCATTCTTGACACCGGCCTCCATCTGTGTGGCTTTCATCATCTGTGGCATTGATCTGCATTTGTTAGCATCGTTGCTGGTCACAATTCTGTTCACTTGTCGCATGCCAAAAATTTTCTATTTTGTATCATCTATTGGATTCGTTGCTTTGTTCTGATAATTCTTTGCTCCTCTTTGAGCTTTGATATAAAATCACTTTAGTTGGTCTCAGTTTTGTTCCTATTCTGAAATTAATATCAATAAACGGCTGTCCTCAACTATTGTTGTCCTTTCTTCACGAATTGGTCAAAACATTTGTTTGTTGATGCCTTTATTTGTTGGATTAGTAGTTCCATCTGGGAACACAGATTATTGTTTGATAGGAAATTTTCAGTTTCTTTTGGAGTTTTATCCAATTGATTCATCAGGGGGATGGGCAATGGAAACTAAAGATGAATCTGGAGTTATGACTACCTGAACAATATTTTACTGGGGTGGGGTTTTGTTGTGCACAAGATATTATCACTGCAATGCGCCAATGTCTATACATATTTTCCTAGTTAGCTTTAGCTTATTATTCCAAGAAAATTTGGTGCATATAACTTCTATTAATTAAGCAAATAGTACAATTTACCAGGTAAATATTTTCAACTTTAAGTCCAAGTATAGTTGGTGCATGAAAACTCTATAATAATAACAGCTTTTGTAAGCCCAGATCAGTAAAGCAACAGTGATGTCATAGACCCAACAGTGATGTCATCCTATCACTGCCTGGTCTAGAATCGCCGATGATAGGCTTGCCCATCAGTGCCGATTGCCTTCTACCAGATTTGATTCCGGCAGTGATGCTGGATTTAGACCCAGCAGTAATGTATAAATCAGGTGTAGTGACCAATACTTACAACCAGGCAGGTCCTAGGTATTGTAGGATATGGTTTTCTAGCTAACTCATACAACAAGCAGATGGTGACCCCCCTTGTAGACTCTGGACTTCATGTAGCTTCACAACCCACCCTGTATCCACTGGTCTGGATTTGTCCTTCGTGACGCAATCTATCAGTCATGTCATCCACCATGGTTTTAAAACTAGTATAAGATGTGAGAAGTCATCCTCATTGATTGCTACTTTGTTGTATGTGCCAATATCTAACAGTAGTAGATCTAATGGATCCTGAATTCCAGCACATAAATTTGGCAAAGGTTAGTTACCACCAATCATTCTTAATAGAAAACTTGGATTGCATTAAGAATTTTGCAATTCCTTAAACTGAAATATAGAATTATACGATCTATTTGAGGCTAGCAATCATTATTATGAGTGAGCAAGGGACACATTAATAATTGCCAAACTCATTGAAAGTGTGAAACACAACTATGTGATATCTATTATACATTCAAATTAAATGAATCAATATATCTCAAAGGGGACAATTTACCTCTATATATATCAGCGGTCTTGGAAACCAAGGCAGTTTAGACCCTAAACATAAGGTTAAGTCGATTGAAAAATACACATAGATACAACATGGACAGATCCTGCACCAACCTTTTGTCTGTGATGGTAATCTTATCCTTCATTCTTTTTGGGTGCCTACATTTCCCTTCTAAGTTTACATCACCGTCTTATCTTTGGGTTAACGCTTTATACGTGTATGTGTATTATCTCCTGATTTGATTTACAGATGATTTTTCTTTTCCAATAGGTAGTCATGCACTCTCTAAGGTCGTAGAAACAGATACCTACCGAAATATCCCTACCAACAGAAAATCAAAAGCTTTTGAGCTCTGGAACGCACCGGCACCCGAGACCAATATCAGCCTTAAATTCTGTATTCTCGAAGCATGTGGGAAGGATGACTGCTTTTGCTGTTCGAACCTAAGGCCAATTGTTTGCTACACGACATTGGCTGCTTGTCAGTTTGTGTGCCCGGCATGCTGCCCTGTATGCCTACCATAGACATAGCCTCGCTCAAACATTGACGATGGAAGGTCGTCCATAATGTTTTTAATGGTCTATCGTAAATGGAGAAAAAAATAATTAATGTAATGGTGTTCTAATTGGAGGGTAATGGTTTGCAAGATATATTACTGCAGTGGTGTGGGATTATACAAATTGTCCATAAAAGTTTGGCTCTGATCTATGGACTAGATGAGTCCAAAAAAATTTAAAATAGCCAACGTGCTCAGTTGTAAAACGGGAATAGTACCGACGAACTACTTAGGGAGTCCAGTTAGTGATAACACAACAAGAAATTTAGCCCTGTATAACATTTTCGAATGACAAAGCACATATTTGTCAGAAATTGGCTTATACTTCTCTTTCTAAAAAGTGCACAAATCTCAAAGCAGCTTATTTGATTAATTATTTTTTCTTAATTATTTTCCTCTGGGTCTCGCATGGGCTGGCCCACCCAACCCAGACAGAGTCCAGCCTTGACCCAAGCTAAAGCAACTCTCCAGATCCCTTTTGTTCGGTGCCGCTGCATTAACTCGTTGAAGGAGACAGCATGTTCCACAAGGTCAGGTCCAGTCGAGTCGTCCGTGCCGTCGTAGTCTCGTAGATGCCATTGCCAAGCAAGGCGGGAGCACGGCGGAACACGCCGACGACCACTCGTGGCACGTACGTGGGCCGCCTTCGTGGTTGGAGCCAAAACTTGGGCAGTTCGTCATGTGCTCCATGGTACCGCAATCAGGTACTCGACGTATGGTAGTCGGTGATGCCCGCCAGTAATGAGTAACCACTGTGATTGCCGCCTCTGGCGCTTTTGATATGGTGTCTAATGATAGTCTCAGCATGGGAAGTGGGAGTGACAACACAATATTCACTTATATTCAGTGATGTTGATCGGTCACCTGGTCAGATGTTAGTTTCTACTACTAACAATGGTGAATGGATTAAAGGTGGAATAAACAACGGTGAGTTGATCAGTTTTCGTCTAAGAAAGATGACAGGACTTGCTTATGGTTCTAGGAACCACGAGCATCGATCTTCCCCTGATTCAATTGAGATTTCTCTGTTCCACCGCTGAAGCTGAGTTTCTAATCCAGGAAGAATAGCGAGTTGAGCACATCATTCAGTTTCAGCAGACAAAGGATGAGGTCACTTAGCCACTCACTACCGGAATCTTCAAATTTGCCGAGTGTTTTTATGTTTGCCGAGTGTATTTCCCAAGACTCGGCGAAAAACAAGTTCTTTGCCAGTGCCATGTTAAAAACACTCGGAAAAAAAAAAAAACTCAACAAACAGGATGTTTTACCGAGTGTCAAAACAAAAACACTCGACGAATAGGTTGTTTGCCGAGTATTAAAAAATAAACTCGGCAAATAAAAATAAAATCTTTTTTTCTAAAAAAAAAAGAGAAGAAAAAAATTAAATAAAACTTTACCGAGTGCCCCATCTGGACACTCGGCAAACAACAAAAATATCTGCCCGCGTCCAGCACTCCGGTCCCCACCCCTTCGGTGCTGCGCTGTGGGCAAGGGATGGAATGGTGGGGCCTGGATGTCAGCCACAGTGAAGAAGCACAAAAGGTGCTGCGCTGTGGGCAAGGGATGGAACCGTGTGATGCGTCCAGGTCAGCGATCCGCGTGATGGATCAAGTATCCAACGGTTGCTGGCAGTGAAGAAGCACAACAGGTGCTGGCGTGCTGCGCTGATATTTTCCATTGTGCGGGAGACGAGGCAGGTGCAGAGCCCGCGCGCTTCACAGACGGCGGCGCGGTCTTCCAGGGAGCAGCGGGATGGGGGATCGCGGCTGCGGCTCCTGTGGAGGGCACGGTGGCCCGGCGTTGCGAGCGCGGCATGGCGGCGTGGCGTGGCGCGGTGGAGCTGCCTCTCACCCTCGCGGCGCTCCGGTCCCGCTCAGCACGGCCGCCTCGACGGAGGCCGCTGCCGGAGGGGAAGGCCCGGGCTCTGCCAGCCGCGGCTCCACCGGCCGCGGGAGCGAGGGCAGCTGCGGGAGCGAGCTCCGCCAGGCGCGGCTCCGCGGGCCGTGGGAGCGAGCTCCGCGTGGGGCCAGAGCCACCGATGCCTCCACGTTGTCGAGGAAGCAAGGGCCGGGCGCCGTGGCCGCTGGCAGCTTGGGGCCATGGCTTGCGCCTCCGTCGGCTGCTTCGTCGCCTCGTCCCTCAACAGCTAGTCGTGCCTCCCCAGCGCTTGCGCATCCGTCGTTTCTTCGTCGCCTCCTGCCCCTCAGCAGCAAGCCGTCGAGCCTCCCAGCACTGTAGAGATGGATTGCAATTTGCAAGTGTAAATTTCTAGTACTGGTGTGCTTCAAACTACTGAATGATTATTGGTTTGCATCCACAGGGGCTGATTTTCTTGCTGTCCAGATAATTATTATTTTCTTTGGAAAATAGGTTTGCCGAGTGTATTTTGAAAAACACTCGGCAAACTAATTTTTTTTCGCCGAGAGCCAAACAGCACATGGTAAAAAGTTTGCCGAGTGCCCGATAAATGGCACTCGGCAAAGTTGGCTTTGCCGGCACTGTTTATGGCGAGTGCTATTCACTACCAGAATCCAGAGATTTCGTGAGAGTGCAAATCACATCACGAAATATGCTTTTACTCTCACGAAAATAATTCGTGAGGGTATACCGTCACGTAAAAACTCTCACGATAATAGACACACGAAAATCTCATTTTCATGAGAGTTGGCCGCCACGGATAATTTTCCTGACAGGAGTTCGTGAGGGTCACCCTCATGAAAATAAAGTTGCCTCCAGATTTGCATAGGTATTTTCATGAGGGTTTCTGGTGGTATTTCATGAGAGGTAACCGTCACGAATTAATTTCGTGAGAGTTAAACATTTCGTGAGAGTCACCGTCATGGAATGAATTTCGTGAGAGTCACCGTCATGAAATGAATTTCGTGAGAATTTAGTATTTTGTGAGAATCACCGTCATGGAATGAATTTCGTGAGAGTCACCGTCATGGAATGAATTTCGTGAGAATTTAGTATTTTGTGAGAGTCACCGTCAACACGAAAAATATATTCAGGCCATCACAGAAGAATGTTTTCATGAGAATTTCAAACTGTCATGAAAATTACCGAACAACAGGATCATCTCATGCCAAATTTCAAATGCATATATATTATCCAAATGTCTTCCAATATGTGAATATAGGCAACAGGTTCCAATCACAATACATTCTAGATCCATCCAAGTGTCCAGCCATTACACTAAAAGGACTAGCTCATTGTCTTAGACATACAACATGATGAGTTGCAGCACCGAGTCCGAACCATGCAATATAATAAGTTCTAGCATAGAGTAGCAACCTTCCAGCACATATATATATGCTTACTAGTTACTACAACAACAAGGATGCCTGGTTAGCAAAAGAAGCCAAAAGCCAGCACATACACATACTACAGCACCAAGGATGGATGATTAGCAAAAGAAGCCAAAAGGTTAGCAATGGTCGGTTCCAATCACATCTATTGCATCGGTTATCACCGATATCACCCCGTCGGTATGGTCGCCATCCTCTTCTTCATGGTTCTTTGCTTATGTTGTCACCTTCACTACCTCCGCTATCATCTTCATCAAAGTCATCAACGATCATCTTTGTTGTCATCGTAGTGTATTCATTGTCATCCATCTCATTGTAATCTTTCATCATCATCATCGGTGACTATGTCATTGTCATTGCTAAGCATTTCAAGTGAGTGAGTGGCGGCGATGTGATGATTCGGAGACCTAAAAAGATCAAGTGTGTTTAAAATGTTTGATCTTCAAGTAAAAAGAGATTATCTGATGGGCTATGTTTGTTTAGATTACTAACTATTTTTGTGAAAACAGGCTCGATTTGTGAATAGTACCACATTTACACGATGACGACGGGCATCAAGATTTGCTAGACGGTTCATTAGATCGTGAGGAGGTTGCTTGTTCGAGATCTTCAAAAATTGTGCGAAATTTATGTGTAAGCACGTTGGATCAATGCATATGATCAATAAACCGGTAAATGAAAAGGATTGCTTATTACCGGCATAAGTCGACGATTAACACCATTTTCCTCAATGAGAATCTCATTATTCTCATTCAATTTCTTATTTGTTTGTTCCAAGGCATCATTCCTCTCCTTCAACTGCTCATATTCATGTACCATGGATTGATAGGCGATAGTTCTTCTTTGAAGAATGATGGGATTTAGTATTATTCTTCGCAAGTGCTTGTCTATCGACACAACCATCACTATTGGCACCCTACCATGGGCCATTCCATGATCCATGACATACAATGCGTTTGCATCCAAATCTTTTGAATTCTCGGTAGCTTTGTTCTTGTAATGTAGTTAGCCTAAGACAAAATACCGAGCATTGATATGAACTAAGAAAGCGGATAATAAAAGCTGTCACAATAAGCTGCATGTATTTATCTATAGTTTGTTTTAGCTATAACCCTCCATCATATAGGCTGATTAAGACACTCAAATTTTATATAGTTTTCAGATTTGTATCATAAACTTGGTGTCGATTAGATTTACAAATTGTTGTATTAAACTACATGTTTAGGTTAGATTGATTTATATCACTTGGATTTATATCATACGAAATGTAGAATGAAGGAAGAAACATTTAATGATGAAATGGCAGCAAGCAAAGAGGGAGTTGCATAGCGAAGCAAAAATACATACCAAACGCTTTCTCGCTCTCCGACTAGGAATGGGAGCGCTTTTTCCAAAGTTTGTCCACTTTTTAAATCCAGACTTCATCACAAAGATATGTGTTCATAGTGCTAGCCTTACAGGGCCAAATTTATATTCCTACAAGACCACCCAAGTGAATTTCCTAATCTTTAAATACTTGATTTCATACAAGACCACAAAAGAAGAAAGATTTCATACCAAGAGTCTGTTGTGTCTCACCAAATGGCCTCGAACCTCCTCGGTTCGAAAGCAGCATCTTGAGACTTTAGGCGTGAAGCTTGAGCTACCTTCCTCTTTTCCATGTACCTCTCACTTGCCCAATACTTTGTGAGAAAGCACCAAGCATCTTGAGCACACCACTCTAGCTTACTATTTATGTATTCTTCTTACAGTAAGATGTATGTCGCGTGCTTCATTGTCATTGCATTTTGCATGAAACTTAACAAACATCCAAACGAGTTTGATATATCAAATCGAAACTCTTTTCATTAGATACGCATCCAAATTGTGATCGACTTTTCTCACATCACTCGAGATACCTTGAACACTCTCTACATACATAAAAGAGGAAAATTCAGCTATTTCAATTCAAATCATAGAGCGAAAAAAGGTTAGTTGCATTACCTAGAATTCACACTTGACTAGTTTGGCATATGTTATTCCAGCACGATCCTTTTTGCAGTAATAATCATGCCATGACATTGCTGCCCGCCTTTCAATAAGTTTTCTTGAGTGAAGCATCCCAAGTATCCACCCCTTCCCACAAACTCATTAATTCATCAATTAAAGGCTGCATTAGAATGCCTAGTTTCTTTCCAGGATGTCGGGACTGGGATTACTAGGGAAAGAAATATGTACTCTGATTTCATGATTGTGCATGGTGGAAAATTCAATGGGGTAACAAACACCGCCAGCAGGAGTAAGGTATACGCCATGAAACCAAAGGGGTAAAACCATCTGTTGCAAAAGCAAGGCGCACATTTCTAGGGTCACTAGCAAAGTCTGGAAAGTCTTTGTCAAACTTTTGCCACGCTTCTCCATCACAAGGGTGCACCATTTTGCCGAGAAGTGCATGGCTTGTGAGACCGCAATAGCTTTGCCGTGTTCTTATGCAAATATAACCTCTCGCAACCTATTGGTGATGGGAAGGTACCGCAACACTTTACGTGGCACTCGACTATTACCTTCATAGCGAGACAACCCACAAACATCACATTTGTCTTTGTTTATATTATCTTTGTAGTAAAGCATGCAATTATTATAACAAACATCAATTTTGACATATGCCATACCAAGACCCTCAAATAGCTTCTTTGGTGATAGAAGTCCTTTGGCAACTTAGATTCGGAGGCAAAAGTTCATGGATTAATTCTAAGTTTGCCTCAAAGTGTGCAATTGACATGTTATATTGTGCTTTCATTGCTAGTGAGGCGTGCCATACCGAGATAGAGATGAGTGTGATGTATTCTCATGTACTAATTGGTCAACATTTTCTACCATTCTATAGAAATCTTGAGCATAGGCAGGCTGCTCATCAATTGGTGGTGGATGGTCACCAACTAGGGTAGCTAACATTTCATCCATGTGGTCGGGTTTCAACAAAATTCTCACCATGTCCACCTTCAACATAGGTATTGGCGGGTCCCTCACCATGTGATGTCCATACTCTGTAGTCTTCCTTAAAGCCAACCCTACACAAGTGCATCTCTACCGTTAACTTGGTGTGCCTAACACAATTGCGACATACCATGCAAGGACACTTAATGGTGCCATCTTCAACTAGATTAGGCATAGAGAAGGCACGATCCAAAAACTGGTTGGTGTTATCTATCCAATCATTTGAGAGGGGGTGTGCACGAGACCAACCAAAGGTACATCCATCACGTTCTTCCATTCTTTTTTCTTCTGTTTTCATTAAAAAATTCAGAATTTAGACACCGGAAAAATTCACATGGCTATCAAACAAACAAAAAACTATTTTCTACAGGTTTACCAAGAGATACAATACAATCATATTATGATGTTTGCATATATACAAACAATGAGCAAATCAACCACAAACAACATTATTTTTCTCTGATTCACCATACCATCGAAAATCATGGCATTATATTCTATTATACCAACAGCAGAAGAGGTAAATTCTCAAGATATATGGATCAATGCAAAATTCATAGCTCCATTAAGTTCGGTGTAAGGCAAATGTCGCACTTAGTTCCGATCTACCAGATCTTGCAAAATTGTTAGAGACACAACATAGTTTATATAATCCCAATTAAGTACACTACAAAAAACTAAGCAAACTACCATGTGAGATGCATCAAGCATCCTCATATGGGTTAAGCACAACATGTAAAATTTTGGAGAAAGATGAAGCTTTATTAACTCACTCCGATTGGAAGTAGGAAGCGCAGATCCACACAAGGTAGGACCCTGTCTCCTCCAAGCTCGGTTTAGGCGTCCTCTGCGTTCTCCTCGAGCCTAGCTCGGTGTCGCTGCTGCCTTCTCTTCCTCATAGCTTCGACGGAGGAAAAGAGTAGAGGTGGCCTGAGGGGAGCGTCTTTGAATGCAGGGTGTCGGGAGGGCTCGATGAAAGGCGTCGGTG